TGTTGTCACTTGTTCATAGAGCTAATTAATACGAGTGACGTCATGGGTTAGTATTGTAAATGACTATACTTGAGTGGATGATGCAGGAATATATTGTAATTTTTCAAAGCTATGTTTACAAGTTATATGATATTTATGCTACTCTGATATGAGGTCTAAGTGTGCCAGTGAACATGCATTTGTAGTTGCAGCTAGTTTTTAATGATCATCATAATTAGTACCCTTCCCAGGAATCTAAGCACAACAAGCGGCACAGCTAAAGTTACTGAATAATTGCATCATTTGAGTGCCTAATCGTTACTTTACTTTTACATTTTCATTTATTTAGAGAAGCTAGGGGTCACTGTTACATTTTCATTTATTTAGATGAGCTAATGGCCCCTGTTTCATTTTTATTTATTTATAGAAGTTAGGAGTTCCTGTTAAATTTTTATTTATTTAGAGAAGTTAGGGGTTCCTGTTACATTTTCATTTATTTAGAGAAGTTAGGGGTTCCTGTTACATTTTCATTTATTTAGAGGAGTTAAGGTCCCTGTTACATTTTCATTTATTTAGAAAAGTTAGGGGTTTCTGTTACATTTTCATTTATTTAGAGAAGTTAGGGGTTCCTGTTACATTTTCATTTATTTAGAGAAGTTAGGGGTTCCTGTTACATTTTCATTTATTTAGAGAAGTTAGGGGTTTCTGTTACATTTTCATTTATTTAGAGAAGTTAGGGGTTTCTGTTACATTTTCATTTATTTAGAGAAGTTAGGGGTTTCTGTTACATTTTAATAGATTTAGAGAAGTTAGGGGTTTCTGTTACATTTTTATTTATTTAGAGAAGTTAGAGATTCCTGTTACATTTTCATTTATTTAGAGAAGTTAGGGGTTCCTGTTACATTTTCATTTATTTAGAGAAGTTAGGGGTTCCTGTTACATTTTCATTTATTTAGAGAAGTTAGGGGTTTCTGTTACATTTTCATTTATTTAGAGAAGTTAGGGGTATCTGTTACATTTTCATTTATTTAGAGAAGTTAGGGGTTTCTGTTACATTTTCATAGATTTAGAGGAGCAATATCAGCCCAAGGAAGAGTTTAACAATATCTTTTTACACATCATACAATGAGAAACATCATCCATTGAGAACTAACTGTTTAAGAAATGTATAATTTATATACTTTATCATGTGGATTTAAGAACAGCACTGATAGTAATTTATTACTTTCAAACACTTCCTGACAATACAGCTGACTTAGAATTAATGAATGGATAGTCTAAATTGTGATCAACAAAACTGTTATTTACAGATCTTTATAAATGGCCCTGACATGAGATAATTCAATTGTTTTTTTTAAATTGATGTCTATTAGGTAAGACAATCTCCTTCTGTGTACTCAAGATAAAGTTGACAACATGTTTCAGGACAGATACAAGATATAAACTACAGGGGGCTATGCTACCTAACTGACCATCTACAAATCAGAAGGCGTCAGGGGATTTTAGGATGGTTTTCATTTTTTACTTTCAACTTTTTGTCGGCTCCCCCAGTAATTTTAATCCATAAAGTAAACTTGCTGTGAGGTGAGCACATTATTTAAGTATGATTTGAATGCTCAACATTTCATATTTAAAATTTGTTGTTATTTTGGAACTAAGCTGATGGATGTCCAAATGTTTTGTTTTGAAGGCCAAGATTAATTTATTTGGCCTTTGCCTTACCATTATACCTTGGCAGATTTTACTGTCAACGAAATCAAACACAACGGTACATGCTCAGGTGCGTTTCCATGGCAAATGGAACATGGCAAGATCTATTGGTTTAAATTTGAAACTGACATGAGTAGCTGTTACAAGAACGCTGATTGATAGTTCCAGCTCCTTTGCACGCCCAATCAAATCATTCAGTTGAGGTCAAGCACAGGTTTGTATGGACCGCCATGGATGGCTTCAAAATAGAGAATTGAAGATATCATCACAAACTGAACCAAACTGATAGAGGTCCACCCATGGAACTTACATATCAAGTATCAAAACAATTGAGCTGGTAGTTTTACAGAATAGCATTTTCTAGCAAAAATTTAAAAAAATAAAGAATTGAAGATTTCATCACAAAATGAATAAAAATCTGACAGAGATCCACCCAAGGTGAAAGTGAAAAATAGAAATAGAAAATAGAATTGTGGATGGGCAATGGACAGATGATCGCCTATATGTTAGATTACAGGAGAGCTAAAAACAGATTAAAATGATGTAAAAGCTGTGAGACATTATGCCTATGTTTTCATTTAACATCAAAAATATTGAGATGTCTTATTGTACAATAAATATGCAAAAACTATTTATGTTCAAGTAATTCATCCAGGTAAATTAAACATATTATTTGAAATATCATGAAATAACTATATACCATTAAAATATATTATGAACAGTTTAAAAATAACTAAAAAATGTATGATAATTATATCTTAGTTTACTCAGCACTTTAGCATGATTTGAATTCTGCCACCTTCTTCTGGTTAATAGACATGAGTAATAAAATACACTTAAATTAACAATTTATTTTAATTCTTCATAATCTTTTACACTCATTGTCGATGGGAATGAGCCTATACTACTTTTTTTGTTTTACTTCACTCATTTTCTTGATGCATCACTCTTAAAAATGTAATAAAACAGCATTAATGTGGCTTGACCGGACCCACTCATGTGCAAGTCCGAACCCTGTATGTTGATGAAATAGAATGTGAACTAAGAATGAACTCTACAGCAACTGATCATACTCATACATCATTGAATGACAAACACAGCATTCTTCAATTGTGACATACCTGTAGAGCAAGTGATGTGACGTTTGTTACTAAGGCATCATTCACTTTGTCCAATTCTGTATCAATATCTATCTATTTGAACAAAGATAAAATAAAAAATGTCACAATTTGTAATCATCATTAGAATTCTAATCACACTTTTATCTGAATAAATAATTGTAATGGTAGACAAAAGACACAAAATTATTGCAGTTTTCAGGATAGCTCGGCCATGTATACTATAAAAATAGTTTGCAATGCAGAAAAAATAATAACATACCCGGTACATAAGTTATTCCTTTTTTCCCGCCAAAATTGACTCCCTAGATCTATAGGCATTATCATGTTACATATGTGTGGTAATGTAAACAATGTAGAGTAGAAAATAAAATACAATAATACAGTACCAAATAACACAAGTAAAGTAATCTAACAGGTGGTAATAACATTTTACTGCATTTTATTTATGTCATTGCCTTGTATTGTATCATAAAGAAATTATGTAAAGTGTTTCTAGTTTTATTGTTGCCAATTGTATTACTATTATAATTCAAGAGTCACCTCATACAATTTAAAACTAAAACTAGTACAACGTCAAAGGAGTGAATAAATAAGTGGAGATACTAGATTAGATAACATTCTCCAACCCAAAATACAATTTTTTGTAGGATGATATCAAGGATAAGAATATCTAATAAATCTTCTACAATTCTCATTTTATAGTGACAATTTTAAAGTGCATCTGTGATGTTGAAATGATGTGAAGATGGAGATAGGTGTAAGCAATATTATTCAAAGTGACAATTGCGTTAGGTAGTGTTTGGCATTTACAATTAGGTAAATCTCTCTATTTTTTATTAAAACATGACCACAGATCAAAACAATAATGATGCCGCCTGTGAATGGATCCATTATATCTCATTTATGCCATAGTAACACTTTGCCGCTAGTGAAATTATAGACTGGGTGTATTGCATGAGTTTCAGTTATTGCAACCAATACAAATCACTACTGTACAATCTGTATTAGAAGGCGCATCCCTAATTGAAGCCGCACGCATTCTTTTGAAACAATTGAGACCCATATGTGTAGATGCTCTAATAGAAGCAGTATCCCCTCTGTTGCATTGCACCATTTCAATAAAAGCTGCGGCTTCTAATACAGATTTTACAGTAGTAATTTATGTCCACATACATAATATTTTTGTTATTCTTCATGCTTTGAAAAACAGGCTCAACAATCTAGTTGACAATTAGTTTTACACAACATCTATCTTTTCAGACTTTATTAACACAGATAAGTAATAACAAGTAATGACTTAGAAACAAGGTGATCATAAAAATTGCAGAAATATGAACTAAAGATAAACTTAAAGTAACTAAAGAGTCACATGGGAATACAGTGAGTGCTAGGAAATATGTCAAGGATGGCCAGGGTACAACTGATGCAGGTTTCTGATCATCTATATACGAGTGTCTACTCTATTTGAAATTGATGTAATACAGGAGCAGGTGAGTATGTGGTAATTTCAATGTTTACAAGTAGCTAACACACTGTGTGTAGAAAGTAACCAAAGAAGGGTTTCAGTCATATGTCACCTCCTAAAAGATAATCATTTAAATTACATCCCAGTTGTGAAATAATCCCCGTGGGGCCTAGAGAAGAAAAAGTTTCTGGACAATGTTCAACTCGAAGCAAGCTAATTTGTTTTTTTTTATTCAATATGTGCACTAGAGAATCATATAGACATTTTTTAATGAAATCCTTTAGTTTGACAGTTTTGTAGATGATGTTATCTGTTAAGAATTGAAGAAAAATATAAATTTATAAATCATATCAAAATGAACTCAATGCATTCACATCAATTTGATGTGCTCGCCTTCTGTGCAGATGCAAACACAGAAAACATTGATTATACATACATGTAAGATGTTAAACTAGAATCTGTACATTTGATTTATGATTTTTCAAATCCTATAATATTCATAACAAACTGTACTCTTTGACAACTCTGAATAATGTATAGAGAAAGGAAAGGCTGATACTTAATATGATATATTGCCTGTATTGGTTTCCTTGGAAACTACATCAATGAATTAAGGTTGCCAACTTACTGTGGAGAAATCTGCTGCTGGTGAGAGTTCATCGATGTCTATGTTGTCTCGGAGATTGGTACATGCTGTATCACTATCACATGCCGCAGATGTTAATGTATCATTTAGATCAGTTTTCACATTCAGTAACTCTGTTTCTAATAACGATGTTCTTGTTAGAAGTTCATCTGCTGCATATTGCACAGCTTGCAATGCTGACTGCATTCTGTACATTGCTGTAAACATTCATTTATAACTGTGTTATTTTCATCAAAAAATAAATTTGTATGATAGAGTTTGATTTTTTTCAGACATGCTGGTGACAAAAATTAATGAATATCAAATTAGGTCAATTTTGTTCGATAAAATACCAAAATAATTGAAGCAATATTCTCTTGTTCTATCATCGATTGCAGCCATAACTATTTCTAGCTTGAGGCTATTGAGATTTGGCAGATTGTATGGCGATATTAAAGTGAGCAAAGAAATTACTCATTAATGTATGTACACATTATTAATTATTATCAAATGACAGTACATGTACCAAACACTTTTTTGGGGTTCTTCAAGTATTACAATGATTTTGAACTAAAGAAACATGGTGGTGTGTTTTGAGAGTAAGAATGTCTTAATTTATCTGCATAATTTTTACATGTGCTATATATGAAATTTTCAGTCAGTACTATAATCTTATCAAAGAGCCATCTGAAACTGACAGAAATACATCCAGCAATATTTCATAAACCATGCAATGTACTGTTCATAAGTTACAAGATTGATTACAACACCGCTACAGTAACATGTTTTGACATTTCGACTTGTCATTTTATACAGGGCACTTCATAGATAATAGATGAGGCTTTAGATTCACTATTAATCATTTTATACTATATAGAAATCCCCTAATTACATACACAATAATTTACTGGTAATATTTTGTGAATGTCATCATCAACATGTATGCCAATAATTGTGTTATGAAATCAATCAATCAATCAATCAATACTATAACTTATTAAGTTGGCAACTGCAGGGTTAAAACATGTTGAAAATAGATCTGTGATTCTATAAAAGTAACTGACCATGCAAGCTACCATAAGAACTTATATACATCATCTGAAGGACAGTGTTTGTCTAATGGATTACCTTTTTTCGCAAGAATTGTGCTTTTTGTGTGTGATTATTCTGACTTTTGAAAACATTTTTATTAGCATTTTCAGTAACACAAATGACCTGTGAATTACCCAGGTATTTGTAAGCAGCATGTCAGTAGCAGCTAAAAAACAAATAAAAAAAACCAAGACACAATCGTCTAACCCCAAAATGTCCTCTATTAGTTGTCCCCCTCTCTATTAGTTGTCCCCCTCTCTATTAGTTTTCCCCTCTCTATTAGTTGTCCCTCCTCTACTAGTTGGACCCCTCTCTACTAGTTGTCCCCTCTCTATTAGTTGTCCCCTCTCTATAAGTTGTCCCTCTCTACTAGTTTTCCCCTCTCTATTAGTTGTCCCCTCTCTATAAGTTGCCCCTCTCTACTAGTTGTCCCCTCCCTATCAGTTGGAACCCTCTCTATTAGATGTCTCCATCCCTACAAGCTGTCCCCCAGTCTGCAAGTTGCCCCTCTCTAAAAGTTCGCCACTCTGTACGTGTTGTCCCCTCTCTACAAGTTGCCCCCTCTACTAGTTTTCCCCTCTCTATCAGTTGGACCCCTCTCTACTAGTTGTCCCCTTCTCTACAAGTTGTCCCCTCTATTAATTGCCCCTCTCTACAAGTTGCCCCTCTACAAGCTGTCCCCCTCTCTACTAGTTGTTCCCTCTTTATTAGTTCTCCCCACTCTATTAGTTGGACCCCTCTCTATTGGATGTCCCCATCTCTACAAGCTGTCCCCCATTCTACAAGTTGCTTCTCTCTACTAGTTGCCCCTCACTACAAGTTGTCCCTCTCTCTACAAGTTGTCCCCCTCTCTACTAGTTGTCTTCCTCTCTATTAGTTGGACCCCTCTCTATTGGATGTCCCCATCTCTACAAGGTGTCCCCCACTCTACAAGTTGCCCCTCTCTACTAGTTGCTCCTCACTACAAGTTGTCCCCCTGTCTTCAAGTTGTCCCCCTCTCTACTAGTTGTCCCCCTCTCTATTAGTTGGACCCTTCTCTACTATTTGTCCCCTCTCTATTAGTTGCCTCCCTCTCTACTAGTTGTCCCCCTCTCTATTAGTTGGACCCTTCTCTACTATTTGTCCTTTCTCTATTAGTTGCCTCCCTCTCTACTAGTTGGACCCTTTCTCTACCAGTTAGCCTCTCTCTATTTGTTGTATCACTGATATCTTTAACTCTACAATCACAGGCCCACAATATGTTGTAGTGATTCAATCACTCAAAAAAGAATAAAGATTTTTTTCTGAACAATTCTATCACATCCAAAACTAATATATAAAATTTCTCATGGGTCAATTAATGGAAGAGTTATGATTCTCTGACAAAATGAGCTTAGCCAGTAATAAATATTACAATCAACCTCAACACAACAACAAATTTTGAAATATTAACATGAAAAATTGGGAAAATAACAGTAAATTTGGCTTCCAAAACCGATTACAATAAAGGGAATACTAAAATCTTAAAGTTTACAAATGTTAACAGATAATTTATTGACACAGTATTTCAGGATTCAAAGTGGAAAAATGTCACTCATAAAATTGGAAATTCTACCAAACCAATTAGAATTTATTACACACACGGGGAAAGTTAATATTTTTAACTACATACTACTACTGCATATAGGACAGTATTTTTTTCTGTACACTTGACATTTCAAAAAGTGGGTCATAAAGGATGTTCAGTGAATCTCATCAGCCCTTTTTGCCATTGAAATGATATGACCCAGTAAGTCACTATAATTGCCTGCCTCATCAGATCAGTTTACTTAGCAGGAGGGGTGTTATGCTAGGGTTTGAAAGATGAGGGTGAATTCTTGACTTTTGTAGTAATCTTTTACTAAAGTTTTTATTTTACTGGTGGGCACATGAGCATGGAACTACAGTTTTGCTAAAGAGCTACCAAAATTGCAAAACAGCTAACTTACACACAAGCAATGAAAATACAGAGGCATGACCAACTGAAAAGTTAAACAACGTGAGGTGTGCTATTTATATGTACCTCAACTTGGCAATATGAAAATATTGCTTTATTGTTTATATTAATCAAATAGAAGTAAGAAAAGTTGTTGACAGTTATTAATTACTTTGGCAATAAGTCAAAACAAAAGTATCAGATTCTCATATTCACACACAATTGTATCTTTCAACCCTA